CCAGTGTTCCCAGTTCCCCACCAGTGTTCCCAGTTTCCCCCCAGTGCTCCCAGTTCCCCCCCAGTTTCCCCCCAGTTCCCCCAGTGTTCCCAGTTCCCCCCCAGTTCCCCCAGTTTCCCCGTGGGTTTGTGGGGGGGTCTCTGTGGGGGATGGGGGGGTCTCTATAGGGGATTCGGGGTTTCTATAGGGGATGGGGGTCCCTCTATGGGGTCAGGGGGTCCCTATAGGGGATGGAGGGGTCTCTATAGGGTCAGGGGGTCCCTATAGGGGATGGAGGGTTCCTATGGGGTGGAGCCTCTATGGGGTCGGTGGGAGGGGTCCCTATAGGGGATGGGGGGGTTCTATGGGGCCAGGAGGTCCCTATAGGGATGGGGGGGTTTCTGTGGGGTCAGGGGGTCCCTATAGGGATGGGGGTTTCTATAGGGTGGAGCCTCTATGGGGTCGGTGGGGGGGTCCTTAGAAGGGCTGGGGGTGTCCCGATAAGGGCTGGGAACCCTTTGGTGTCCAGGGCTGGACATTTCCCCCCCGGGATCGGGGTCACCTCCCCTGGGCCCCCCCCGGGATCGGGGTCACCCCCCCGGGTTCGGGGTCACCCCCCCGGGACCCCCCGGGATCGGGGTCACCTCCCCTGGGACCCCCGGGATCGGGGTCACCCCCCAGGATCGGGGTCACCTCCCCTGGGACCCCCGCCCGGGATCGGGGTCACCCCCCGGGATCGGGGTCACCTCCCGGGATCGGGGTCACCTCCCGGGATCGGGGTCACCTCCCTTGGGACCCCCGGGATCGGGGTCACCTCCCGGGATCGGGGTCACCTCCCGGGATCGGGGTCACCCCCCGGGTTCGGGGTCACCTCCCGGGATCGGGGTCACCCCCCCGGGATCGGGGTCACCCCCCCGGGATCGGGGTCACCCCCCCGGGTTCGGGGTCACCTCCCGGGATCGGGGTCACCCCCCCGGGATCGGGGTCACCCCCCCGGGTTCGGGGTCACCCCCCCGGGTTCGGGGTCACCTCCCGGGATCGGGGTCACCCCCCCGGGATCGGGGTCACCTCCCGGGATCGGGGTCACCCCCGGCCCCCCAGCACACCTCAGAATTGTTTCTCCCTTTTCCTTCTCGACAAACCAGGCTTACACAATACATACATACACCTACAAACAATTAATATATATTCATTTTCTCCTCGTTTCCTATTAAAATTAATTCCTTGCCTGAATTTTTTACTTTGTCTCCTTTCACGGAATATTTTTTTTTTTACATCCCCCCCCCTCTTTTCCATTTCCTCTGGCTCAGGGGTCCGAAGGAATCCAAGGAAACCTCTCAATCCTCACCAATTTATGTTTGTATCCTGTTTATGTTCCAGCTCCTTATCTCATCCTGCAGTCCTGGTTCTCTTCCTGCTGTTCTGGGAGCCGTCAGCGTTTCGGGTTTTGCGGTTCCTTCTTTTACTCAAAGCAATTTGACAAATGATTCCTAATTCTTTAATTTCTCTGTTTCAGGACAGGGATATCCGGCGGGCGCTGTGTGCCAGCGCCAGCCCGGTCCGGAGCCACAGCCCTGCTGGGACACAGCCCCGGGGAGCGCAGGGTTAAATCCTCCAGGTGACCGCTCGGGAAAATCCAACACAAACAGTCGAGTCCAGTGCCTGGAGGGTTTCCCACCTGTGCCACAAGAGGTGCCTTCTGCGTGGTCAGTGTCCCGTGAGGAGGGAACATCTCCTGGAAATGTCACAGACTGTCCGTGGAGAATGGAGGCAGCGGCAGCTCCCGGGAGCCCTGCCAGGGACTGTCACTGACCATGGGGGTCACCCTGGCAGGGCCCCTGAGCCGGCCCAGGAGCCTCGGCGGGGAAGGTGAGCCCCGCTCGGGGACAGCGCTGGGCCAAGGGCAGGACAGGGCCATCCCTGGGGGCTGCAGTGGGAGCTGTGTGCCAGTGCCAGCCCAGCCTGGAGCCACAGCCCTGCTGGCACAGAGCCCCTGGGAGCCCATGGCTGGCACAGCGGGATGGGGCTGATCCAGCAGGACACGCTGGCCCCGGCTGGGACGCTGGGGCCGGCCAGGGGATCTTCCCCTGGGAACCTGCAGCACTTTGGGGCTGCAGGGCCGGCAATGGGCCGGAGCTGGGTCAGCCCGGCGCTGCCCCAAGGCCAGCCCTGGTGGCCCAGTGGCAGCGCTGCCCAGGGCTGCCCGGTGCCTGCAGAGCCTGGAGAGCCCAGGCACGCAGCTGTTGCCGTGGGCCAGCCCTGGTGTCCTCCCAGCTGCCCGTTTTCCCCGATGCCGGGCTCCTGGTGCCCCAGGCAGAGGGCTCAGTGCAGCCCCCGCTCAGCCAAGGGGCTGCAGTGGGAACGGGGCCGGTTCTGCTCGGACCCAGCAGCTTTGGGCTTTGGGGCTGAGCTCTGGGGTGTCCCCCGGGGAAAGCTGGGGCAGGGCAGGGGCAGCGGGAGATGGGGCAGGTCGGAGGATGGATTGTGCTGGACTGGGGGGTGTCCCCACAGGCTCCCCAGCTGCCTTTGGCTCCCTGCCTGCCCCCCTTGGCACCCGCGGGGCCCTGGGCCCTTGCAGGGGCAGCTGCCCCGTGCAGGAAGCCGCAGGGATGCGGGGAGGGGGGCTGGATCCGTGCCGCAGCTGGGATGGACTCTGTGCCAGGCCTGGGCTTGTGGCCAGGGCTGGGGGCTGTGCCAAGCCGGCCTTTGGCCTGGGGGCTCTTGGGGAGGGCGCAGGGAGGAGTCCCGGCAGGATAAAGGTGCTCCTCACCTGGGGCAGCCTCAGCCAGCGCTCCCCACTCACTGGCAGAGGAAGAGGAAGATGAAGGGGGCTGTGCTCGGCGTGGCCCTGCTCTTCTCCATCCTGCTGTGCCCCCCGGCTGACGCTGGCACACGATGCTCCCTGGATCTGAGACGGGGCTGGATTTGCCACCACGACTTCGGCTCCGGTGCAGGATTCCCTCCTCCAGGTGAGCGGGAGATCCCCGGGGCTGGATCCCCTGGGATTTCCCACCTTGGACTGGGGACAGCCGCGGGCTGGGGGTTCTGGGGACCCCATCAGGTCCCGTCATGACCTTGCCCCCCTTCCCCGACCACGGGCGCAGACACAGGGGGCGGTTCCATCACCGTGGTAAGTTCTGGAGCCGCGGGGGGCCGGGGGAACTGGGAACCAGTTTGTCCTCTCCGTCCCTTACTGGGTTTGGGACAGCCCGGTGACGCGTCCCTGTCTCTGCAGGGGGAAGCCACAGCTCGGAGGAGCGAGGTGAGTCCCGGCAGCTCTGGGAGCAGATCCCTCCGTCCCAGTAAATCCCAGTAAATCCCAGTGCACCCCAGTGCTTCCCAGAGTCCCCCTCACTGGATTCCCACCCATCCCAGTAAATCCCAGTACACCCCAGTGCTTCCCAGAGTCCCCCTCACTGGATTCCAACCCATCCCAGTAAATCCCAGTAAATCCCAGCAAATCCCAGTAAATCCCAGTGCTTCCCAGAGTCCCCCTCACTGGATTTCCACCCATCCCAGTAAATCCCAGTAAATCCCAGTAAATCCAAGTGCTTCCCAGTGCTTCCCAGAGTTCCCCTCACTGGATTCCCACCCATCCCAGTAAATCCCAGTCCACCCCCGTAAATCCCAGTCCACCCCAGCTGTTCCCAGAGAGGGGCCCCGCTGTATTCCCAGTTATCCCAGTTATCCCAGTAACCCCCCAGTGCCTCATTCCCTGTCCATTTCCTGCTCTCCTCCTCCTCAGGGCTGGGAACACCTCTGGGGCTGGGGACACCTCTGGGGCTGGGGACACCTCTGGGGCTGGGGGAACCTGTCTGGGTACACATGGCCGGGTACACCTGGCCGGGTACACCTGGCTGGGGACACCTGGCCGGGTACACCTGTCTGGGGACACGTGCCTGGCTCTGGGGACACCGCGGTGACGTCCCTGTGCCATCCACCCTCTCTGGGCAGGGAGGAGCGAGAGCCTCTCCAGTGAGGAGATCTGAGGTGAGCACCCCGACTTCTGCCGGGCCCCGACCCTGCCCCGGCCCTTGGGGTCATCCCAGTGTGCCCCAGTATGCCCCAGTACACCCCAGTATCCCCCAATATCCCCCAGTATCCCCCAGTACACCCCAGTATCCCCCAGTACACCCCAGTACACCCCAGTACACCCCAGTATCCCCCAGTATCCCCCCAGTATTCCCCAGTACACCCCAGTATCCCCCAGTCCTCCTAGTCCCCCCCTCTGTCCCCAGCCCCCCCCCGCTGCCCCTCGGGAAGCTCCCCTGGAATCCCCGGGGGGCTCCAGCCCCACAAAAAGGCCCCGGGGGGGTTGGGGGGACCCTCTGGAGGGGCCAGCCCTGCTCCGTGTCCTGGGGGCGCTGGACAGAGCTGGACAGAGCTGTCCCTGAGGCTGGGGACACGCTGGGGACACCCTGGGGTCACCGCGGGGTCACCCTGGGGTCCCTCTGGGGCCGTCCCTGCTCCGTGTCCTGAGGGTGCTGGACAGAGCTGTCCCCGAGGCTGGGGACACCCTGGGGACACCCCGGGGTCACCCTGGGGTCCCTCTGGGGCTGTCCCTGCTCCGTGTCCTGGGGGCGCTGGACAGAGCTGGACAGAGCTGTCCCTGAGGGAGGGGTCACCCTGGGGACACCCTGGGGTCACTGCTGGGATCACCACTGGGTTCACTCTGGGGTCACCCTTGGGGTCACCCTGGGGTCACCCTTGGGGTCACCGTGGGGTCACCCTTGGGGGTCACTGCTGGGATCACCACTGAGGTCACTCCGGGGTCACCCTTGGGGTCACCCTGGGGTCACCCTTGGGGTCACCGTGGGGTCACCCTTGGGGGTCACTGCTGGGATCACCACTGGGGTCACTTTGGGGTCACCCTTGGGGTCACCCCAGGGTCACAGCGGCAGCGTTTGGGGCACCCAAGGGGAGGGGATCTGGGGCCCTCACAGATCTGAGGAGCCGATCCCGGCTCCATCCGGGCCCCGATTCCCGGCTCCCTCCGGAGAGGGGCCCAGGCCTCTCCTGCCCCGGGGTCACCGTTTGGGATCCGGCTCTTAGGACTGGAAATGGTGATGCCGTGTGCCGACCCCTCCAGCGACACGAGGAGATCCTGGAGGAACCCCAGAACCCTGGAATGATCAATAAACCCTGGAATGATCAATAATCCCTGGAATGAACAATAAACCCTGGAATGATCAATAAACCCTGGAATGATCAATAAACCCCTGAATGATCAATAAACCCTGTAATGATAAATAAACCATGGAGTGATCAATAAACCCTGGAGTGATCAATAAACCAGTGAACAATAAACCATGGACAATAAACCATGGACAATAAACCAATGATCAATAAACCATGGACAATAAACCATGGACAATAAACCATGGACAATAAACCATGGACAATAAACCAGTGATCAATAAACCAGTGATCAATAAACCATGGACAATAAACCATGGACAATAAACCATGGACAATAAACCAATGATCAATAAACCATGGACAATAAACCATGGACAATAAACCATGGACAATAAACCATGGACAATAAACCAATGATCAATAAACCAGTGATCAATAAACCATGGACAATAAACCATGGACAATAAACCATGGACAATAAACCAATGATCAATAAACCATGGACAATAAACCATGGACAATAAACCAATGATCAATAAACCAATGATCAATAAACCATTGATCAATAAACCAGTGATCAATAAACCCTGGACAATAAACCATGGACAATAAACCCTGGAGTGTTTTTAGTGATATTTTTTTGGTGGCGCTTTTAAACCACGACATCGGGACAGAACAAGCCCTACTGTCACCTTCCTTTCGTTCCTGCACCCTCAGAGAGGTGCTCTGGGACATCACTGCAAGGGACATCAAGGGACATCCCTTCAAGGGCCATCACTTCAAGGGACATCACTTCAAGGGACATCACTTCAAGGGACACCGGTTCAAGGGACATCGGTTCAAGGGACATCACTCAAGGGACATCACTCAAGGGACATCGGTTCAAGGGACATCACCTCAAGGGACAATCACTTCAAGGGACATCGGTTCAAGGGACATCGGTTCAAGGGACATCGGTTCAAGGGACATCACTCAAGGGACATCACTCAAGGGTCATCAAGGGACATCACTCAAGGGCCATGAGTTCAAGGGCCATCACTCAAGGGACTTCACTTCAAGGGACACCAGTTCAAGGGACATCGGTTCAAGGGACATCACCTCAAGGGACATCGGTTTAAGGGACATCACTTCAAGGGACATCGGTTCAAGGGACACCAGTTCAAGGGACATCGGTTCAAGGGACATCGGTTTAAGGGACATCACTTCAAGGGACATCGGTTCAAGGGACACCAGTTCAAGGGACATCGGTTCAAGGGACATCACCTCAAGGGACATAACTCAAGGGACACCAGTTCAAGGGACATCTCTTCAAGGGCCATGAGTTATTCAAAGGCAAACGGGTTTTTTGTCTGTTTCTGTCATCAGCTCTGGGGATTCTTTTGTTCCTTTCTGTTAATTTAGGAGTTTCATTGTTACTACTTTATTTTTTTTAGTTTGTTTATTTTAGTTTATTTATTTATTAATTTCTATTATATATATTAAAAAA